ATTCTCGGAAGGTGCAAATTGTTAGGCGGGGCCCTATCAACCATTCCGGCGGGCTCCGTTCCGGTCACCCCAAAGCAGACATCACATATACACTACTCAAGACAAGGCACCTCAAAGCAGTGAAGTATTTCAGCAGACTCTGGGGACAAGCAGGTCCCACCTCGTCAGGATTCGGGAACAAAGCCGGTGCTTGTTTCAAGTGTGGCAAGGAGGGCCACTATGCTGTGGAGTGTCCTCAAGCAGCAGACAAGCTCAACCATCTCAAACCATCGCAAATTCCAGCTGATTAAGAGGACTTTCATCAAGAGGAAGGTGCCCAGCAGATCCGGTCAAGTGCACTTCACGGATGCTCAAAGAAGTTGTGCATCAGAAACAGCGATTATGGCTGGTATGTTTACCATCGAATCCCATCCAGCTTTGGTGTTGTTTGATTACGGTGCATCACATTCCTTTATGAGCATGGGTTTTGTAGAGCGGCACAACTTATCACTATTGGCTATACCAGTATGCCTATAAGATCCGCATCTGCGGGTTCTCGATGTTCATCAATACCCGCACCGGATACAAAGAAGTTTAGTATTAGCTACCACACTTACCGCCTATAGTTCATGATAATGCCGGGCAAGGCATTGATGTTATTCTTGGAATGAATCGGTTTATGGGCGTATGGGGTAGTATTGGATATGAAGAAGAAGTGTAGAGTTACGGCTTCCATCTTCCGAGGATAGGATGTCTCTCATCATACCCTCAGAACCGGTCTTACCTGTTGCTGCCCATGCTGAAGCCGTTCCTGATCTTACCTCCATTCCAGTAGTATGTGAGTTCCCAGATGTTTTCCCTGAAGATCTTCCTGGATTGCCACCGGACCGTGAGGTAGAATTCTCCATTGAGCTTGAGCCTGGCACTGCTCCTATCTCCAGGCGTCTGTACCGCATGGCTCCGAGAGAACTGGCAGAAATGAAGAAACAACTGGAGGAGTTGATGGACAAGGGTTTCATCCGCCCAAGTTCTTCACCTTGGGGTTGCCCTGCAATTTTCGTGAAGAAGAAGGATGGTACTCTGCGGATGTGTGTGGATTACCGCCCTCTCAATGCGGTAACAGTTAAGAACAAGTATTCCTTGCCCCGCATAGATACTTTGTTTGATCAGTTAGCTGGTGCCATGGTGTTCTCAAAGATAGATCTCCGATCGGGTTACCATCAGATCAAGATCAGGCCACAGGATATACCAAGGACAGCTTTCTCTACTAGGTATGGGTTGTATGAGTACCTAGTGATGTCTTTTCGTCTCACCAATGCCCCCGGCTTTCTTCATGTACCTAATGAACTCTGGGTTTTCATGCCGAAATGGATAAGTTTGTGGTAGTTTTCATTGATGACATCTTAATCTATTCCAAGAATGAGGAAGAGCATGCCCGTCACCTCCGGATATCTCGACTGACTCGAGAGCACCAAATTGTATGCTAAATTCAAAGAAGTGCGAGTTTTGGCTTGATCGAGTGCAGTTTTTTGGGACATGTGTTGACACCGAGGCGTTTTCAGAGATCCCAAAGAAGGTGCAAGATGTATTAGATTGGAAGTCTCCTAGGTCTCAGACATCGATCCGCTGGGCCTTGGGCTAGCTGGATACAATCGACGCTTTCATCCCCGATTTCTCCAAGATAGCCCAGCCCATGACTAAGCCGCTCCAGAAAGAAGCTAAGTTTGTTTGGAGTCCAACTTTGTGAAGAAGCTTTTCATCCTCAAGACTTTTCCGACCATCGCCTCAGATTGGCTCAACTTGATATTGAGAGGCCCTTTGATGTTTTCTTGTGATGCCTCAAGACGGGTTTGGGGTGTGTGCTTATGCAAGAGGGGTGTGATAGCTTATGCTTCACGCTAATCGAAGAAGCACGAGGTGAACTACCCTACCCATGATTTAGAGCTAGCATCAGTAGTTCACTCTCTCAAGATTTGGAGGCATTATTTGTTGGGCAACAAAGTGCACATTTTCACCGACCACAAGAGCCTTAAGTATATTTTCACTCAGTCTGAGTTGAACATGAGACAAAGGAGATGGTTAGAGTTGATCAAGGATTATAATTTGGAAGTCCACTATCATCCAGGAAAAGCCAACGTGGTAGCTGATGCCTTAAGTCGTAAGTCGCATCAGGTTGAGGAAATACCCTTGTCACTTCACCACACAGAGGTGCTAGCTCATATTGCATTGACATCAGAATTGCTGGAGCAAATTATTCGGGAGCAGAAGGAAGACCCCGAAGAGATTCCTCACATCAAGAAGTTGCTAGCTGAAGGACGTGGACCTCATTTTAGCATTGATGAGATGGGAGTCATGAGATACAAGAATAGACTGGTGGTTCCATCTAATGGGGAGCTAAAAAGGAAGATTCTAAAAGAAGCCCATCTTTCCAAGCTGTCTATCCACCCTGGTAGCAACAAGATGTACCATGATCTACGTCAACTGTACTGGTGGTCTTACATGAAGCAAGATATCACCCAGATTTGTTGCAGAGTGTGACACTTGTGGTAGAATCAAGGCGAGATCATATGCGCATTCTAGATATCTGCAGCCCTTGCCCATTCCTCGTTTGGAAATGGGAGGATATTTCCCTAGATTTCATTGTGGGTTTACCCCGCACCTCCCTCGCTTTGATTCTATTTGGGTCATTGTGGACCGCTCTCACCAAGTCGCCCACTTCCTTCCCGGTGGACACTAGATACAATGCAAAGAAGTATGCGGAGTTATACTTTGATCGGATTGTGACCCTACATGGAGTTCCTCTCACTATCATCTCTCGATAGAGGGTCGCTTTTTGTCTCTCGTTTCGGGAGAAACCTGGAGTGTTTGGGTACTGTCTTCTCGTAAGCTCTAAGCATACCACCCATGTGATCGATGGTCAAACCGAAAGGGTGAACCAGGTGCTCGAGGATATGCTGCGGGCTTGTACCATCTCTTTTCCTGAGAAGTGGGATCATTGTTTAAAGCTAGCAGAATTTTCTTATAATAACAGTTATCAGGAGAGTATCCGCATGGCGCCATTTGAAGCTTTATATGGATAGAAATGTAGGACGCCACTAAACTGGGTTGAAGTAGGAGACCGTGGGTACTTCAGGCCTGATTTCATAAAGGAGGCCCAAGAGAAAGTAAATATAATTCGTGAACACTTGAAGGCAGCTCGAGTCGATGTAGAAGGCTTACGCAGACAAGCGAAGAAGACCTTTGAATTTTGTATTTGGAGATTTTGTGTATCTCAAGGTATCTCCTATGAGAGGGGTACATCGGTTTGGTGTCCATGGCAAGTTAGCCCCTCGATATGTGGGTCCATACAAGGTGTTGCAGCAGTGTGGTCCCGTTGCTTATCGTCTCCAACTCCCGGAAATTCTCTCGGCAGTTCATAATGTATTTCACGCCTACAGAATCAAGAAATGCCTACGAGTTCTCAAGAATCTGTGGAAATAGAAGGACTTCCGCCCAACCCGACTGTCTTATGTGGAGCATCCTATAAAAATCTTGGATGAGAAGGAGAGAGTGACCAGAACAGGGGTGATAAAGTTTTACAAGGTGCAATGGCAAAACCATTCGTGAGGACGAAGCCACCGGGAGCAAGAGAGCTACTTAGCAAAGCATTACCCCCATCTCCTCTCTCGGGTCGGATAGTTAGTGTTATGCCTATATATTTCCTCGTCTCTTTCTCACACTAGGCACATAAATCTCGGCCGAGATTTTCTTTTTAGGGGTAGATTTGTAACACCGGTGTTACATTGTAATGTTTTGCTAAAACATCGCAGGAGCATCATGTATTTGTGCATATGTGTGTAAATTGAGTATAAATCAATATACGACATTTTAAACGCTTATCCCAAACGGAAATAAATGTTAAGTTTCATGTCGCTTTTATTTTGTTTAGTATTCTAAACGGATTTTTATTAAATAAAATGATGTAGATCGTATGTGAACTTTAATAAAATTTGTAAGCACGAACTCAAGAGTCGACAATGAAACAGTAGCTCGAATTGGAATTGACGCGAAACCGTTCAAGTTTAAGTCATTTCGCGTAAGTTATAAATGAGTCGACGAAGCCACTTTTGGTAATTTGTAGAAACCTGCACGCCATCCGCCGGACAAGCCATCACGCCCATGGTCACCATCGTGCCTTGGTTGCTCGCCATCAAGACAAGCACATCGCACGACGAGTCCTATCACTCGCAGACTCGCGTGTCGGTCGACCGCGCGGACGATCCGGGCACGTCTCAATGTTTCCGTCGTCATGTGCACGCTGCATTACCTTGCGTTAATGACCGTGGATGTGCTAACGCCATCGCTCTCATTGCCGCCATGCCCGACGGGACCTCTCGTTTTAAATTCGCCATGACCGTAGCGCGTTAATGAAATTCGTCACGTCCGTGGCTCCGCGAGACAACCAGCAGCTTGATTGACACCACCTTGCCCATTGTAGCACCTCACTGTGCTTCAATTTTGGAAGCACAGCTCCGCCTGCTCCATAAGAACGAGGTGAACTGCGCCGTCGTCCATCCACGGAACCAGAGCATACCAGTTCAATTCATCGTGACCGCTAGCTTCTCCTCCAGCTGCTCATCGCACTGCCCACTTCTTTCAAAGCTTCACCGCCGTTTTGCGTCTTCTTCGTGGCCGGCGGAGGATCGCCCGAGCAGAGCAAGCTTACAGCAGCCGGCGGTGCGTTACTGTTCATCTTAGCTTGCTGACATCATCATGACGTCACCCCTACGTCACACGTGTTTGTGGCCACTTTTCATGTAGGAAAATAAAGCCGTAATACGTTGAAATACGCCTGGGCTGCTTTCAGCGCTTGGCCAAGCTTGGGTTGGCCGCGGCCGCCGCTGTGCATTGGTTGCTATTGCTGGCGCCGCCATGCCTGCTCGCCGCGTCTGCTCTGGCGCTCGTTTGCTCATTATTGCTTGCTGCGCCGCTGCCGTTGGTCATTGGTCATACCTTGCGCCATTGGCCTGCATTGCCATTACCGCTGCGGCGCAAGCATTGCCGCCGCCATTGCCATGTTGTTGGTTGCCATCACGCACACTTGCTGCCACGCCGCTTGTTGCCATTGCCGCCATTGCCATTGCTTGCTCGCCATTACACACTGCCGCTGGCCATGGGCGGCCCACACACGTTATTGGCTGCACATTGCGCCACACACGTCATTGGTTGCGCCGAGCCACTGTGGGCCGCGATTTTGAATTCGTTTTCTTAAGATCCAGAAGCATAGAAATGATAATTCAATTTAGTTTCAAGTTAAACTTCGATAATTAGTAGTAAATTGCATGGTGTCCAAAAATAGTGAAACCAAGTTTGTTAGGTTCACAAAATGCCATCTACCGTTAGTACAAGTAAGTTTACCATTAACTATTAGGGTGGTAGGCTCATAAGATTAAAGTAGAGAGCTTAGTGGTATATCGATCTTTAATTGCGGATTTGTTGTAGTAAACCGCAATAGTTTTAGCTTCGAAATTATTATGGTAGGGTCCTTAGACCTGTACATACTTGTCTGTAAAATAGGTAGCCAGAGAGCGAGTCGCTTAATGGCGAAGTTATTATCCATAGCTTAGTAGCTAAATCAATGTACTTTTTATTTTTTTAAGAGTGTTGTTGTTATATTCCTAAGCATTGCATCATCATTTCATGCATGTAGATCACGAAGTTGGTAGACTTCGTGCCCGCCGTCGTCGAGCCAGAGAGAACGACGAGGTGATCGAGGAGTACGAGGAGGAGATCTTCGCACAGAGGAAGCCCAGAGCCTATTGGTGCTTTGACTTTGTTTAATCCCCGGCACTGCTCAAGGCAAGCCCGGTGCATAACCCCTATTTTTAAATGATCACCGAATATATTTATATGATATGCATTTACGCTATGTGCATTTTATGGAAACTACATGCATAGATATATCCACCATGAGACCTACTAGTGTAGGTCGAGTAGTCGCTATGCTCGGGATGTCGGTAGCGTGAGTAACCTGCCGTTACTCGCAAATAGGTGATTACACTATGATATCATGATGAAATAATGGAAAGGAAAAATGGTGACCGGACAGGGATGTGGATTTGGTACTGGTGGGTGTGAGGGGTTGTGTCTCGCGCCAGCAGGCATAGCTCTTGTTACACTTTTCCCCCTGTCCGTGTCGATTAAGGACCGGTCGTTGCATATGACTCTAGGCAAGTCACAGACTATTGTCCCGAGCACATACTTGGGTATGGGGCGCAGGGAAGACTTGTTGCTCTCTTGTCGCGGATCCGGCTCTTCCCGGACCGATCGATGGGAAGAGGAGGTGGTGGAGGTCCTTGAGCCACACCGAGTCCGGATTCAGAGGCGGGGCTTGAGTCCAAGTTTGGACGGGACCCGGACACCCGGACAGAGAGTGGTGGGTTAGCCCCGCTTGTGCTCGGGGTACAAGCGGGCGTAGTGTCTTCGGGCACCCAATTTGGGTACATTGATTCGCTGAATCGCCGGGTTATCCTAAGATGCGGCTTGTCTACTGGTTTAGCACCGTAGTAAGAACTGGAAGTGAAAAAGGAGAAGGAACAATATCGATTGCTCAACCCTTGCTTGAAATTAGAACAAGGTGCTTATATACATTGACTAGATGAAAACTTAATCCCGGTGATGATAATAATGTATCAATAAGGACTCACTATTAGTATTGCTTTTTGCTAAAAGAGAACCAAAGAACCATAAAGCCTAGCATATTCCTTGGAGTCGGGAAAGTATTCCCACCGATCGGATAAGTCTTATGAGTACATTGTGTACTGTGGTTTATTTACCCCGCATTGCGGTGATGCTTGAGGACTTCCTTGTGTGGAGGATCCATCTGGTGGGCTCAGACGGAATCCTCGTTATCTTATCGCTAGATGTTATCTTTTAATATTCCGCTGTTTATCATTCCGCACTCAGTATTTGGTATTGTAATAATGTACTTTTAAGAAACTCTAATGTATGAGATGGACTTGTGTTGTAACTCGTTTTCATTATTGGATCCTTGGGAAAAATGTGGATCTTTCGGGTTCTCCCTCGGGGTGTGCCCGACGGATACCGCTCGTTGTAGTTGCTTTCGGGGTGCTTAGTGTCTGGTGGAAGACGAGCGCCTTCGTAAGTACGCTATTCCGGGTGGTTCTGCCACACCTCCTCAAGCTCCTAGGCCTCTGTAATAGCAACCATAGACTCCTCAAAGCACGCGGACCACCCACTAGCCCTAACACCGAGGAGGCAGGAGTAAGGACCAAAAATGGTAGCCCAGCAGGGAGAGGCACTGACAGTAGAAGCCACCTCTAAAACGCTAAGAAGACCAAAGAAAAAGCGAAGGCAAGTCACAAACCAAGCGAAGGCTAAATACGAAAGAAGGCTTAGACGGCGAAAGGAATGAAAGCAATTGCTCAGGTAGGTGTGGGGAGGTCTTCACCCACCGCCCCCTTATATAGGCCGCGG